GACAGCAGCTCAGCACATCCAGCCACCTACCACCCACACGGCCCATCTGAAGGTGCCTGCTGCCCTGGGAACGTGCCCCCTCTCTCCCTGCCTGCTGCCTGCTCGTCCCAGGCTCACCCACAGGGTTTCTGAAGGGAGTGCTTTGGGCCAATCACGTAGTGATCTCCGCCAGGGATGGGGTCAGAGAGGGCCTTCTCCCAGTTGGTGTTATCAGCGAGCACTTTCCCAACTTCCCTGGCCTCAGCTTCTGCCAAGAAAACAGTTGGTTACTTGTCATTGCTCATTCCACAGACATCGTGTCCTAACGGGGTGATTTCCCTGCTTGATTCGTTCCCAGGACCCCAGATGGTTGGACTGTCTTTGTGGGGCCCAATCTTAACACACCTTCTTCTCATTCCCCACAGAAGCTATGCCCAATCATGGTCACTTCCATATGTTTTTTTTCAGAAGCTGGGGCTCTCTCAATGTCTTGCCTTTTCTTTAGTTACGTTATTCATTCCACTGCTACTGATTGAGGTCAAAGCCTGGAGATAAATCCAGCCCCAGCCAGCACGTTGATTCCCGTTTTCAAAGATTCCCTGAGCCAGAAGACCCAGTGAAGCTGCACCTGGATTCCCGGCATGCCGAAACCGTGAGGTATTAGATGTTGCTATCCAATCCATTCATTTTCGGGATAATTTGTTATGCAATAATAGATAATTAACAGAGATTAAATAAAAATGATCAAGAGCTTAGACTAGGGCCTGTTGCACAGTCAGTAAGTATTAGCTATTATAACCACCATTTTTATTACTTGTTGAGACCCACCACTAGGCTGAAGCTCTGTCCGTGAGGGGAGGGACCATGCCTCCCTATTTGTCCACTGGGTCCCAAGTCCTGGCATAATGGCAGGCACAGAGTCCTCTATTAGAGTCCTTTATTACACAACAGTAAATATTTGTGGACTAAGAGGATGACCAGGAAGGAATGAACTGGGGTCCTCCAGACTCTTACCTCTCAATCCAGAAAGGAGGCCTCTGGGAGTTGGGGGGATATCCTGAGTGCCCAGGTTCCTCCTCCAGCCAGAAGATGGGCCAAGGCCCCTTGGTGGTGGCGCAGCCTTCTTGAGCCTGAACTGCCTATTTCCCAGGAACACAGTTATCGCAGAGCTAGGCCTTGTGTCCACCTGGAAGACAAGAAGAAAACAATGAAACCACCATCACCACCTTCTCTCCTGGCCAGGGAGGCCAGGGGAGAGGCTGTGTTTTGACTCGGCTAGGAAACACAGTTTTTCTTGACTGGAGAAATGGATGCTGAGGGTTAAAAGAAGAATGTAGTTCTCACCCATGTGAGTTCTAATCCTCAGAGGCCAGGACACACACCCCACACCCCACCCCTAATAATACACAAAGAAGCTGTACCTCCCATCTACACATCACCCACTCCTAGGCGCTTTAAGACTCAGTTCAAATGTCTTCTCCTCCATAATGCCTTCCCCAACTAACTTCTCTGACTCCTGGTGTGCCCTGGGCCTGAGGCCTTCATTTGAGCGAGCTGTACGCCAGGTCTTAGTGAACGTACTTCCAGAAAGCCCGGCCCACCAGGGCAAGGACTGTGTTTTTCAATGGGAAGTTCTATCTTTAAAATGAAAGGGGGGGCCTGGCTGGTTTGGCTCAATGGATAGAGCGTCAACTGGCGGACTGAAAGGTCCCGGGTTCGATTCCGGACAGGGGCATACGCCTAGGTTTTGAGCTCGATCCCCAGTAGGGGGCGTGCAGGAGGCAGCTGATCAATGATTCTCATCATTGATGTTTCTATCTCTCCCTCTCCCTTCCTCTCTAAAAATCAATAACATATCTTAAATAAAAATTAAAAATTAAAATGAAAGGGGAGAAAAATGTGAGCTGGGAGGTGGAAGGTGAGTGGGGCCCTGTCCCTGCTGTTTGCTTCTGTTTGCAGAGCTGAGGAAGCAGATGGCAGGGCGGACTGAGGACAGAGCTGTTGCAGTCTACATTCAGGAGTGACAGGAACAACCCTCTAGAACACATGTGTCAAACACAAGGCCCGCGGGCCAAATCCGTCCCGCCAGGCCTTGCAATGTGGCCCGCACCGCGCTGTCATCACTGCACTCCGCTGCGTTTCCATCACAATGACAGTTTATGACTGTTCAGTAAACCATTCGGCCCGCGATTTAGGCTGGATTTTAGATTTTGGCCCCTTCTCTGATTGAGTTCGACACCCCTACTCTAGAAGGCATGAGACCCCCTTTGCACAATGTGAGAGAAGATGCGGCTTCTGCGTGGCTGGTCCTCACAGGGAAGCTCTGCGTAAGGATGTCAGGACTGCAGGGCGCATCCCCCGAAATCTGAGCTACTATCTATCACCTGAACGACCTCCCCGCTCTGAGCACTGACAAGGCCTGTCTCTACCGTAGGCTAAGCCAGGGTTTCTCAAAGTGTGGCCGGTCCCCAGACCAGCAGCAGCAGCAGCAGCACGTAGGGCCTTGTCAGAAATTCCAGCGTTCGGGCCCCATCCCAGACCCCCTGTGTCAGAAACAGAAACCGCCGTCAGAAACAGCCGTCGGTGAGTGTGAGCCCTCCTCGTAACCCGGATGCATGGTTAGGCCTGAAATCCACCTTTGGAAAGACACTGCGCCGCATGTAAAAAAAAAAAATTTTTTTAAAGAAAAAGAAAAAAGGCCTTAGAGATATAATCCAGAGTGGTTTAAGGTTAAAAATAAACGAGAACCCCATTTCATGCCCCTTGCTATAAAATGCCCAGGATCCCTAACACTCCCCACTCTTCTCCACGAAGCAGCCCAACAGGCAATTTAATGAAATCAGCACATTTATTTGAAATGTGCAAAAACGGTTTTTCATATCCTAAGAGTAGCACCAGATGTTTTAGCTCTTTTTTCCCTAATTGATTTTCCAGCCTACAGCGATTCGTCTCTGTGTTTTCCAGTTGGATCCTAACGCGGCAAGGAGAGCGTGTTCCGGCAGGATTGCTAAATGCCGTGCATTTATAAAGCAAGCACACCCGGCCGCCCTGCGTCATCCGAGCGGCTGTCTTCCCAATCGCTTTCAGAAAGCCGGGCATCCATAGGTCCCGGGCACCTCGGAGCGGGCAGGAACCCCAGAAAAGGCCCTCCCGGCGGGGGGCTGGGTCTCCAGGCTCTTGGCTGGTTGCAAAGCTGAGTCCTGGGCAGCGAGCCCAAGCCTGAGCTCTTCCCGGAGTCCTGCACGGCCTGGTACGAAGCGTCTGCTGCTGTAAAATCTGCAAGCCAACGTTTTGTTTTCAACGGGAAGTTTTGTCTCTGAAAGGAAGAAAAGAAAACGGGAGCCGGGAGGTGGAAGGTGAGGGGGGCTCTCTCCCCGCTCGCTCCGAGCCTGCGGAGGCCCAGACAATTCCCCTCTGTTGGCCAATGGGTCCGGTCTGGCTGCACTGGGTGTTGAAGTGGGTGAAAGGTCACCAGCAACCAGGTTTGCCTCACTCAGCGAAAGCTCTGGGTGTCTGGGGAGAGGGAAACAGGAGCCTGGAGCTTTAAAGCAAACTTCCAAATGGATCTCGTGGGGCTCTGCCCAGGGTGTGGGGGGGGGGGGGGGGGGGGGGGGAGCCACTAAGTGCTAGGATCCCAGAAAGTGCTGATCCCTAAAGCGAAAACCACACTTCTTAAGGCATTGGGAGAGGCTGGCACTGCCAGAGGACCTCCCCCAGAAGCTGCTGAGGTCTGAGCCAGCATGCCTGCACAGGATCCTCGTGTGGTCTCCCAGTATGTCTGCTTGTCTGGTTCTCAGAGCCCTTAAGTGTCTGAAATTAGAGCTCATCGGGATTAAAGCTTAAACTGGCTGCTACAACTATGAGTAACTGCCTGCTCCTCCCTCCCCCTGGAAACTCCAGTGCTCTGTTCATACAGTGGCCATCTCAGCACTAAGAATAAAGCATTCTAGGCCCTGTATGGACACACATGCAGATGCAAGATCAAGGACAGAAGCCAGCTCCTGATTTCCAGGAGCTCCGGCCCCAAAGTAACAGCCTGCGGTTTCACGGGGTGCAGTGCACGGTGGAACCTCGTTTCTGGAACGTAATTCGTCATGGAAGGCCGTTCAAAAACCTAATCATTTTTTTCCCCATTAGAAATCATGTACATTTAATTAATCCAACCCAGACCCCCAAATGATTCCTCTTTAACCTTTCTTATACACAGTACATGCCTACTGTATTGGTTAATCTATACATACTTTAAAAACAAAAATGAGCCCTATCCGGTCTGGCTCAGTGGATAGAGGGTCGGCCTGCAGACTGAAAGGTCCCAGGTTCGATTCTGATCAAGGGCATGTACCTTGATTGCAGGCACATCCCCTGTAGGAGGTATACAGGAGGCAGCTGATGGATGTTTCTCTCTCATAGATGTTTCCAACTCTCTATCCCTCTCCCTATCTGTAAAAAATCAATAAAATATATACTTTCTTTTAAAAAACAAAAATGACATGAAAATTTAACGGAAAGGGGAATGTACAGTACAGAAATGAAAGTGTTGACACTAGGTGCCTGAGTAACTCTATCTTCCTCTGGAACTGGGACCAGAGTACCCTGGTCTCCCAGGGCCACCCAACCCCCACCCAGCCCAAAGGAATTCCATCCGCACCTGCTACAAATACCACCAGGGAAGAGGAATAGGTGGGAAGACAAGACCTTGCTGGCAGAATTCTTCCCTTGCCCCCAAACCACTAGGCTATTTGTACACACGATTAAACCACAGAAGGGGATGTTGGGGGGCTGGGTAGAGGGATTGAGCAAAAAAGAAAAAACCCACAGACAACAGGATAGTGATTGGGGAGGGGCAGAGGGGGGAATAAATGGCAATGGAAAAGACTGGGCTTGAGGTGGTAAAAACAACAGTGTACTGATCGTGTGTTGTAGAACTGTGCATCTGAAACCTGTGTACTTCTGTTCGCCAGTGTTACCCAAGAAATTCAATAAGACAGGGAAAGAAATGGAACCACAGGAGCCATTTTATGAATGTCGTCATCATAATCTTTTAATATTTTACATAAAAAACTGTATACACAGCTTATAGAACTTTCATGTAAACATCATAAGCTCACCACTTTGTCATTTGTCAGTTTATTTTTAAAAATAAAAAACAAGACAACAATCTAGTAGAAGTACCACTGGGGTGGGGGAGGGTGGGGGAGGAAGAAGGCTGGGGGCAGGTTCGTTCTCTGAGAAATGTTCACATCGCTTTAGACACCGCCTGGTGAAGGACAGAGGGGTTCAATGGGCCCCAGTGCTTGTTACTGCCCTTTCTCACAACAGGGCGCATACCTGCACCAACCAAACCGCAAGACGGCATTGCCATTTTTTTTTTTTTCAAGAGAACAAAATAAAAGTTAGTGGTTTGTTTTTCCTCTCATTTTAGAAATCATCATCACTTTTCCTTTAAAACATCAGAAGTCGATGAGGTTACAGCGTACACGTGTGGTCAGAATGCTACTGTCTTACACAAATGACAAGTGCATGGGAGTGTCCACGAAACAATTGTGCAAAGAACTCTTTCCAAAGGAAAAAAACAACAGGTTTGAAAGCCTTTAAATAAATCGAAAACCTCGGGTTCTTGAACTGAACAATATTTCACTTGTAGGACAGGCACAGAGTTCGCTTATGGCAAAAACAGCCCGCAGCAGCGCGCTCTGCTCTCCCCTCCCCAGGCCCGGGGCTGGCCAGGGGTTTCGCTGGAGGCTGGCCTGCAGGCGACTGTGTCAGTCTGGAAGCTGTGTCCTCGCAGCCCCACGTCAGTTGCAACCGTCTTCCCCCGGGGGCTGGAAGGATGACCAAGTCCTGTTCCTGCTTGGATGGGCGGGCGCCGGCCCCAGAGCTGTCACTCCACCCACCACCACCATTAAATAACAGCATCCTGCCTCCGAAAATAAAATTATATCTATATTTATATAACACCCCGCCCTGCCCTCCCGCAGCACGCAGTTCCCGTGGTCTATGTTACAGACAGAAGACGGCAGGCGCTCGAACATGGGATGGGGCGCGGCAGGCAGCACCGGGGCACCAAGCTCCTCTCCCGGGACCGGAGGCGGGGATGGAGGGGGGGTAGCATAGGGCTGCGGGAGGCGGGGTGCGGGGAGTCCAACACACACAGCCACACACTCTGAAGAGGCTTGGCTCTTCCCAAAAGGGTGCTCAGGGGGGTCCCCCCTTGGCACTCGGTTGTAAGGGCGCGCCTGGGCCTGTGCAACGCAGCAGCCGGACCGGGCGCACAGAACACTGGAAAGGGGACGCGCGGGGCCTTCCCACGCCGGTTCCAGGCTCCAGGGTCACCGCCGCTGGACTTCGGGGGTGCCGGGCGGGAAGGCAGACGCCGGATGGGCGGTCGGTCCGGTGTGGGGTCCCCGGCGGGGGGGAGGGACGGCCCGGGAGGCCCTCAGAGCACCTTGCAGCAGTTGATGCAGCCGCCCTGCGAGCCGTAGCGCTTCTGCAGCGCGGCGCGCGTGGCCGTCTCGAAGACCTCGCGCACGCCCTCCTTGGTCTTGGCCGAGCACTCGAGGTAGTCGTAGGCCTGGATGCGCACGGCCATGGCGCGGCCGTCCTCCGTGCGCACGGGCTCCTGCTTCATGCGGGCCAGCTCGGTGCGGACGTGCTCGTCGCCGCGCAGGTCCTTCTTGTTGGCCACCAGGATGATGGGCACGTTGGGGCAGAAGTGCTTCACCTCGGGCACCCACTTCTCGGGGATGTTCTCCAGCGAGTCGGGGCTGTCCACCGAGAAGCACATGAGGATCACGTCGGTGTCCGGGTAGGAGAGCGGCCGCAGGCGGTCGTAGTCCTCCTGGCCCGCCGTGTCCCACAGCGCCAGCTCCACCTGCTTGCCGTCCACCTCGATGTCGGCCACGTAGTTCTCGAACACGGTGGGCACGTACACCTCGGGGAACTCGTCCTTACTGAACACGATCAGCAGGCACGTCTTGCCGCACGCGCCGTCGCCCACCACCACCAGCTTCTTGCGGATGGCCGCCATGAGCGCGCCGGGGCCGGGGCCGGGGCCGGGCAGCGGGAGGGGGCCCGCGGGCGCCTCGCTGCCGTCCCGCTCGCCGCTCACTGCTCACCTCGGGCTCGGGGAGGAGGGAAAGGGGGCGCAGGGGGCCGCTAGCTGCGCCCGGGCCCCGCGATGGCGCGTCCTCCCGGTGCGCTCCGGCGGCCGCGGCGGGGGCGCGGGGGCATAGGGCGCGCCGGGCGTCTCCGCGCTGCTCCCGGGCAGTGGCCGCTCTTCTCGCCCCGGACCCGGACTCGGACCCGGACTCGGACCCGGACACGGAGTCGGCGCCTTTGTGCGCGGATCGCAGATAAGGCAGCGTCCCCGGCCTAGATCCGCGGGCGCCCACAGCTCGGGAGGGGAGAGGACTCGGCTCCGGCCAGACGGCGGCGGCGGCGGCAGACGCTGGCTGCGGCCCTAGCGCCCGCTATTTAAAGAGTTCGGCCACTTTCTTAATATAGCCGCCCAATGGGGAGCCAGCCGGCTGAGCTCATCGCTGCGGAGCTCGGCTCTGATTGGCCGCGCGCTGCAGCCCCGGGGCGGGGCCGGGCGGGCGTGATTGACGGCCCGGCCGCCGGGCTGGGAGAGGCAGGGACCGGGGAGTGTGCGCCCCCGGCCGCCGGCGGTGCGGGGCGCTGGGGACCCCGGGGTTCCCTCCTGCGGCGCGGCTGGTACCGGCCGGGCCCGGGGGCCCGGGAGCCGGCTGCCTGGAGTCCGTGGGGCCTGGGCGAGCGGTGCTCCGGGAGGCGGCATTTTGCGGGGCGTTGGCGGCTCCATTCCACTCAACAGGCCCCCCTGCTTTGCAAAGTCCCAGCGGGTGGTCAGACCTGTGGGGGGGGGGGGGGGGGAAGAGGCACCTTTAAGGAGGGCTTGTTTTTATGTAAACACACACACACACACACACACACATACAGGTTTGTTTCCAAGCAAGGTGGGGTTTTTTTGTTTGTTTGTTTTGTTTTGTTTTGTTTTAAAAGCGGCCCCTCTCTGGTCTAGCCGGCCACCCCATCCCCCTTTCCCCAGTTCCTCCCCTGGGGCAGCCCTAGGTTTGGGCCCAGTGATTCGAGACACTACTGTGAGCTGTGTGAACCAGCTGGAAGCCCCGTGGCTCCTTCAAGTCCTGCCACCTGCCCCCTTCCCGGCCCCCAGCCTGGGTCTCTAGATGAAAATTAGGGGAAGGGAGAACAGTGAAAAGGGAAGAGTGAAGCTGGTTGCAGAACTCCATGTCCACTTGGAGGATGTTACGAAACAGGGAGCTAGAGAAAAAAAAAAAAGTCAGCCTGGGTTCTGGTTTGCAGGATTAATTCGGATTCTGGTGTCAGAAGTAGATAGTACAATGAAATTTAAAGAGGCCGGGGGAAGAAACTTGAAGATGGGGACCCAGCAAATTGGTGTCTGGAGGGGTGCGAGGTCCCTCGTCTCCTGTCGCACTGAGACTTAATTCACCCATCCCACGAATCCTGCAGGAGAGGACTGCAGGAAGGGCTGATTTCAAAGGGTAGAAGAAGTAGGCAGGAGGAGGGGAAGCAGGGGGAGCTGGCCAGGAAGGAGGAACAGCAGGAACAAAAGCAGAGAGGTGTGAAAGCGGAGGACAAGCTTCAGAGACTGGGACTAGCTTGGTGTGGCTGCACTTGATGGAGGAAGTCGGGACTCAGGGTGGGCCCAGGGCGGGTGGGGAGGGGGGGGCTAGAGCGCCCACGGAGCAGGTGGGGCTATATCCGTTGTAGAGGGATGCCTATTGGTTTTTCTGCACAGGAGGGACCCAGGACATCAAATGATTGCTTCCTCTAAGACTGGCAGCTGTGGGAGAGCCAGGATTCTGTCCTCTCTCAGCATCTTGAAGACCTAGCACAAAGCCTGACAGTCTGCACAAGTCGGTAAGTGAGTGGAGAATTCACCTAAATATTCAGGAACCCATTGGAACTTTCTGGGTGTCTCCTACCTCAAACTCCAGGCTCTGCTTTAACAATACCCAACCCAATCATCTAGCGGAGCCCTGCTGTTTTCACTTCTGATTCTTAAATTGGGGTAGAGGTCTATCTGGATACTACAGAGAGAAAACCAGGTCAACTAAGACGGCATGCTTTGAACCCTGGAGCCCACCCTGGAGAACAACTCATTCAAAGGACCAAGTGCTTCCTTCACAGGGGATTAGCTCCATGGGTGTATCCCAGCTTTCTTGCTTTGTTTTTCAGATCTAAAGACCTGAAGTTTCAACCAATAAATAATTTTTCCGAAGTGGGATCCCTTGGGAGAAAGTGGGTTATTTTGATCATTGGTTTAGTGTTATCGAACAGAAATCGTTCATTTACCAGTGTTAGCAGAGTCAAGCACTGAGAATTACAGTGAAGAAAGATTGGCTATATTATTATGAATGGCACCACCCAGGAGCATGAGAAGCTAATGCAGGGGGAAAAAAAAAAAAAAAAAGAACCCATCCCTGATGCAGGTAGGTTACGGATTATCTATGGCAAAATTATAAGACCCTGTGGGTTAGGGGTTCGAGGTCATGCTAGGAGCTGATTGGTTAGAGATGAGGTAAGAGTAATAAATCATCTATTCAGCATCCCTCTGTCTGGTTTCATGGGAAAGCAGCCAGGGAATCCTTCCACCTAAGGGCTCTGGAGCTGAGACATAACTTAAGTCAAGATGTTGTCTTTAGCCGACTATGACCATGAAGTCCAGCTACTGTCTTCTCCTGCCTCGGGGTTGCTGATGATCCAGGGGCAAAGCTAGGACTCTGAAGAGTATAGAAAGAGATCTCATTTCTAGAGCTAGGATTTAAAGCTAAATTTAATAATAATTAAAAAAAAAAAATTTTTAAAAAAACATAAAAGACCCTCAGTTTTATTAGGGCTCCAATGGAGAAAATTTTTTCTTTTCCGTCTTTTCTTTTTTAGTTGGCCTAGTACAGTGGTCGGCAAACTGCGGCTCATGAGCCTTGGTTTGCTGCTCTGTTGACTAATGAATTTGCCGACCACTGACCTATACTTTCGATTCCAATAATTACAAGCTGTTGTTGTTCCTTGTGATTAAGCCCCTCAATGTCAAAATAATACTAAAAATATTCAGTTGGTAAATATGCCAAAGTCAACAAATAGAAGAATCCATGTTCTGCAGCAACTTCTTTTCATGGTTTTCATTTTTTGGGTCCAGAATATTTTTGTCCAGTGCAAGCTCTGTGGAGACAGGCTACTTCAAAGACTGCTCCAGTCACAGGGTAAGCTCACGAGGTGCTAATCTCCTCCATTCCCAATCTACTCCCACTGAAAAGCAAGGATAAAACTGATTGTCTATTACACTCTATGAGAACAAATCATTTTAATATTTAACTTTATTAGCATAGATTCACTGTATGACAGAACACCCAGACCGGTGAGAGAGGGAAATTATCCTTGAGACAAAGGAAAGATGTTCATCTATCTCCAATCTTCAGCTTAATTTATTTGGTCTTCGTTTTGTCCAGTGTCTCCTACAGGTCCCTGAAACCACCCCCAACTCCTTCCAGAGAAGACCAGACTGGAATGTTCATTAGATTTTAGCGCCACCTTGTGACAATCATATATATATGATTCTAGAAAACCTTATCTAACCTAAAAGCATGAATTTTATGACTATTTTTATTTTGCGATCTTTCATGGAATGTATTTATAGCTGTATTATTAATATTACCTTCAAATCTTTTTGTGAAAGGATGCTTTACAAAATTCTTTAGAAATTCTTCACATATATACTTATACACACATAACTCTTTTCATATATACTTAAAAAAAAAAAACAATTCCTAAAGAGTAACTTATAAAAGAGATTAGGAGAGATAAGGTTATGGAAACTTGATAGTTTAGATAACAATGGACTTCATTGTTCCCTAAATTGTAAAACAGCTTTAACCACAAATACAATTTGCTTCCATGTATCAAATCAACACATTTGTACACCATAAACTTATAGAATGTTACATATCAATTATATCTCAATACAGCTGGGGAGGGGGGGTGGAGAATTAAATGAATACTGGATCACCAAAAAACAAAAATAAAAAATAATGCTTGACTCAATTATTGGGCAACTTTTATATGTGTTTAAAACAACTTAGGTATATGAACCTGCTTTTTCCTACTGGAGCATTTATGAAATTTAAATACAGACTTGGTGTTTTTAATGCAAATTTAGCATCCAAATTGAGATGGGCTATATAATTATAAAACAAATGCTAGACTCTGAAGACAGGAAAAACATGTAAAAGAGTTCATTAATAATTTTCATATTAATTACATATTGGCCTGATAATATTTTGGGCTTAGTAGACATGCATTTAAACATCTGAGACTTAATAGAGTGGATATATAATTCAAAGTAATTTTGTGTTTTTATGTGTTAATGTGGCACCTGGAACATTTTAAGTTATCCGTGTAGTTCACGTTATATTTGTATTGGACGGTCAAGAAAATGTCTAAAAGTTCATGGTGTTCACTGAGTATTCCCTCCCTCAGTCACCTTTATAGGACCCCCTCTCATCTTCCTACGGGTATGATTTCCTTCTTTTCCCTAAACGCAGTGCTGGGTTTCAGAGGGGCACAGACCCTCAGAGGCACACTGTGGTTCAGAACAATCTGGAGCCTCCTCGTCCACTGCCCATCACTGCTCTCCACACCTGGCACCTCCAGGACTTTTCCTCTGTCCCCCAGCCCCTCCCTGCCTGCCCACCTCTCATCCCAACACTCAGCGGTGCTTTCTTCTTTAATGTTATTTTTCAATTGCAGTTGACATTCAGTATCATCTTCTATCACTTTCAGGTGTACAGCCTAGTGGTTAGATAACTATGTCATACACAAATAGGCTTTCTTGGATCAGCGAGGCTGAGCGGGCCTGTTGCATGGTGATTCATTTTCCCTTCCATAAAAAGAGAATCAAAACCTAACCCCTGTCCAATTTTGATAGAAAAGTGGGGCTTGTGGGCTGTTTTCTGGAACTTTCCTATCAACCTCAGTCTTCTCACTTCAGTTCAGTAAACGTGGATTTAGATAAGGTGACCAGTCATCTCGTTTTTGGTGGGACAGTCCCGATTTTTAACAATTTGTCCCGCGTCCCGATCGGGACTTTTTAAAAACGCCGTGGGACACGGGACAAATTGTTAAAAATTAAGGTGACGTCTGGTCACCTTAATTAGGGGAGGGAGTGGAGAAGGGGAGGTGAAGATGCAAAAAATGAGTCAGGCTTATTATGAGGGGGCCATGTCATAAGCTATATAAATGTCTAACCACTGTGCTGCACACCTGAAACTAATATAATATTGAATCTCAACTGTAATTAATTTTCTTTTTAATTAAAAAAAAAAAAGATAAGTGAGGCTTTGGACCAACATATAAGGGGGAACACACACACACACACACACCCCA